AGATGGTTAAGTTGTGTAATAAAGTTATTATTATTAACCAAAACTGTTTTTCTCGAGTTGAAGTTTTGATTCAGTACGACTCATTGGGACTGCCACGAAATCGAGTGCGTATGAAATAATTTAAGGACAAAAAAAAACAAACCTGCGTAGAAACCGGAATAGGTCTTATGATTACCGGAGACACATTTCAATGGACTTGATTACGGATAATGCATGACGTAAATTTCACCAGGAAATTACGCAGTGTGCTCTCGCAATCGCGTACTTAGTAATTTTTACTAGGTTCGCCATTTTTGATGTCACGTGATAATTATGTGAACAATGACTGTCCAGTTTGTGCCAACTTGTACCTCTATACTTAGTCTTTTGAAATATAGAAGCTAAATTACTGATCTGAGCGAGACAACAGACAGAGAATGTTTTATTCGAAAACCTCACAAAACCTTTCTCGCTACTTTAACATGATTGGTCATGTTGGATATAACAGCATTTATTTAAACAAAACAGCTGTCAGTCGGCCATTTTGAATCTGTTCTGAAAAAAACAGACAATCATCAGGATCCCATATTGTTTAATGTATGTACCAAATGTGAATAAAATCCATCCATACATGACTGAGATCTGGTTCCAGAATGGCAGAAATGCATGATTTTGATGAATTTTTAACTTAAATTGAATCAAATGAATATATAAAGTTTGAATATGATCAGTCAAGGCATGTCATAGATATGGCTCCAGTCGAGCAAAATGGCTGCCAGTTGTCCATATTGAATACGATCTGAAAAACGAAATGATGTACATAAAAACCTATAATTTCCAAAGTATGCACTAAGTTTGTCCATACAGGACCAAGATTTGGTTCCAGAATGACAAAAATGTATTTTTAGCACAAAAACAGTGTTTATTCAGCCATTTTGAATCGGATCACGAAACAAATGGGAGTGCATATGTAAACATTGTATGTTGTTTGTATGCAGTTAAATGTAAATCATCCAGACAATGACACGATACAGGTAGAGACGCACAGATGCATACACATGGGTCAAATCACAAGCCCCCATTTTCGAACTTCACTCGATCACAAAGATACAAAATCATTTTGTACAAACCTTGTCATAGCCAGAAGCAAATATTTACTTTTACTTGCACTAAAGAATGGGGATATAAATGCAATTCCACATGATACTCTTCCATATATGGACCCAATTTAAAAGAATCTCAATATTATAATCATTAGGCCAGTCTCTCAACAGGGACTGTCATTAGGCTTACAAAAATAATTATCCTAGTTATCAAGGCATCAGTGGCCGATATCACCATGGCAATAGATAAAACATTTATGAGAACATTCTTTGTTATTGACGTCTTAATGTCAATTATGGACATTAAGGAAAGTATACAAGGAATGTACATGTTGTATCTGACAAGGATGTTACCGGTACTGGTTATTTTGCACTGCATTGTGGGATATAAATACAGAGTTTGAAACTAAAATTGTTTATCAACTGCCAATCTTTTAAAATTTGTAACAAACCGAGGATGTATGTTTTTTTTGTCACCAAAATAAGTTTTGAGATATGACCATAAGATAAATTCCATCATAAGAAAGAAAGAAAAAAGTAACAATGAAATGAACATTGTTTTAAGTTTCAAACTGAATTAAGCTTCACAGATTGTTGAAATGTTTGCTGTGTCTATGAACTTGAATGTCAAAGTTTGTGGGAAACGCCAGTTATCTCATGTCATCCCATGTTATAACCTACAAAGATTATATTATCAACTATTTTGTTACCCCTTCTCAACATAGCGTAGCATCACAGTCCCACTATCAAAGAACTTTGATGGAATATTTCATGAATGAACAAAGCACCAATGCTTTTAATTTCAACACACTCAGCAGTCAGGATCAACCAGTTTAAAAGATTTT